TGTAATTTGTGTCTTCCTAGGAATTTGTTCACTTATCTAGTTTATTGGCATACCAGTATTGATAGTATTCCTTTAGAATATTGCTTATTTCTGTAAGGTTGGTAGTAATGTCCTCTCTTTTATTATGATTTTAGTAACTTGAGTCTTATTTTTTTTCTGTCAACCTAAAGTTTTGTCAGTTTTGAAAGAACCAGTTGTTTCATTGATTTTCTCTGTTACTTGTTTATTATTATTATTGTTAAAGATCTTACTTATTTGAGAGAGAGCAAGAGAGAGCATGAGCAGGCGGTGGGGAGAGGTAGAAGCAAGCTCCCTACCAAGTAGGGAGCCCGACGTGGGGCTAGATCCCAGGACCCCAGGATCATGACCTGAACCAAAGGCAGATGCTTAACCGACTAAGCCGCCCAGGTGCTCCACATGTTGCTTGTTTATTAATTTCTACTTTTATTATTTTTCTTCTTCTTGCTTTAGGCTTAGTTTGCTCTTTTTGCAGTGTCTTTAGGTAGAAAGTTAGGTTATTGATTTGAGATCTTCTTTCTTAATATAGGCATCCATAGCTATAAATTTGCCACTGCTTTAGCTGCATTGATATGTTGTCCTCATTTTCATTCATCTCCAAGTATTTTCTTATTTCCCTTTTGATTTCTTCTTTGATCCATTGGTTATTTAGGGATGTGTTGCTCAACTTCCACACATTTGTCAGTTTCTCAATTTTTTTCCTGCTGATTCCTAATTTTATTCCACTGTGGTTGAAGATCATACTTTGTATGATTTTTATCTTTTTAAAATCTACTGAGGTTTGTTTCATGGCGTAGCATATGGTCTAGCCTAGAGAATTTCCATGTGCACGTGAGAAGGATTCATATCCTGTTGCTCCTGAGGGGAGTGTTTTGTAGATGTCTGTGTCTAGCTGATTTATACTGCTGTTCAGGTCTTCCATGTCCTTGTTGGTCTTCTGCCTGGTTATTCTATTCCACAGAGAGAAAACAGGGTACTGAAATCTCCAATTATCACTCCTTCCTTCATTTCTGTCAGTTTTTGCTCCATGTATTTTGGTGATCTACTGTGGTTAGGTGCATATATATTTATAATTATTAGGCCTTCCTGATGAATTAATTGTTTTGTCATTATAAAATGTCCTTCTTTATCTCTTCTAGCAAATTTTTGTGTGTGTTAAAGTCTATTTTATCTGATATTAGTTTAGCCACTCCACCTGTCATGTGGCTGCTGTTTCCAAGAATTACCCTTTTCCATTCTTTTACTTTCAATCTGTCAGTATCTATGAATCTAAAGCCTGTCTCTTGTCAGTAGCATATACTTGGGTCTTTTTCATATATACGCAGTCTGGTAATTTTTGCCTTTTGAATGAATTATTTCATCCATTCACATTTAAAGGGTTTTATTTTCTTTTAAAGATTGATTGATTGATTTATCTGAGAGAGAGAGCACAAGTGGGAGGGGCAGGGAGAGAGAATGTGGAGCCTAGATTGGGGGGTGGGGGGTGGGGCTTGATCTCACTACCCTGAGATCATGACCTGAGCCAAAACCAAAAGTCTGATGCTTAACCAACTGTGTCACCCAGGCGCCCTTCACCCATTCACATTTAATGTTTTGTGTCTCTGAATCCTCCTTTATCACTTCCTTTGGCATTAAGTGAATATTTTCTATTTTCTTTTCTTTTTTTTTTTTTAAGTCGGCTCCATGCCCTGTATGAGCCCAACAGGGGCCTTGAATTCACAACACTGTGACCAAGACCTGAGCTGAGATCAAGAGTCTGACACTTATCCAGCTGAGCCACCCAGGTGCCCCTAAGTGAATATTTCCTAATGAAGCCTGTAGATTTCTTGAGTGATATTTTTTGAGCTGTTTGTTTGGTGGTTGCTTTAGGGCCTACCATACACAATGTATCAGAATCCGTTTCAGATTTATACTAGCTTAATTCCAGTGAGACATACAAACATGACTCCTGCATGTCTATTCCATTTCCTTCCTTTTGTGGTATGGTTGTTAGGCATATTACATCTGTTAATGTTATAAACCCAACAATACATTGTTGTAGTTACTACTTTACCATCTGTGAAGTAACCTGCTACAGCTTTGCTCCCACCCACTTCTTTTGTGCTGTTATTGGCAAAAATATTACATAGACACTATACTTCTGTAAGACCAACATTACCTAATATACATATTATTTTATGCAATTTCTTTTTAAATTAGTTAAGGAGAAAAATATGCATTTATATCATCTTTTATAATTACTGCTATCTTTACCAGTGCTCCTTGTTTTTTGTTTTTTATTTGAATTCAAATCACCATCTGGGATCGCTTGTTTTTAGCCTGAGGGACTTAATATTTCTGGTGATGCAGGTCAGTGTCTGGGAATGTCTTTATTTTGCCTCCACTTCTGAAAGATAGCTTAGCTGGATACATGATTCTTGGTTGACAGTTCTTTTCTTTGGGCTCTTTGAATGTCCTCCCAGGGTCTTCAGGCCTGTGATTGCTGCTGAGAATTCAGCTGTCAGTCTCGTTGTGAGGGGCAAGTTTTTCTCTCTTGCAGATTTCAAGATTTCCCCTTTTAGTAGCTTTACTGTACAGCTGACCCTTGAACAACACACGGTTACAGATGGTGACCTCTGTGCAGTTGAGAATCCATGTATAACTTTTGACACCTCCTAAACTTAACTGCTAACAGCCTCCTGTTGACCAATAATGTAAGCAGCTGATTAACACATATTTGTATGTGTTTTATATACTGTGTTCTTACCATAAAGTAAGCTAGAGAAAAGCAAATGTTGACAAAATCTAAAAGAAAATACATTGACAGTACTGTATGGTATTTACTGAGAGAAAATCAATGTATGAGTGGGCCTGCGCAGTTCAAACTCACGTTGTTCAAGGATCAATTGCTTATGCCTGTGAATCTCTTTGTTTATCCAAATTGAAGTTTCTATAGCTCCCTAATGTGTAGGTTAGTACTTCTCAATATATTTGGGGGAGTTTTCAGCCACTAGTTCTTCAAATTTTTTTCTGCTTTTTTCTCTCTCATCTCCTTCTGGTAGTCTCATTACACATGGCTGGTGAGCTTAGTGGTGTCCCACATTTCTCTGGGGCTCTATTCCTTTTTTATCTTTCTTCCCCCTCTGTTCTTTGGATTGCATAATCTTTATCAATCTATCCTCAAGTGTGCTGAAACTTCTCCCCATCCAGAAGTACTGTTGAGCCCCTCTAGTGAATTTTTCATTTAAGTTCTTGTACTTTACCAACTCCGGAAATTTCCATTTGGTTTTTTTATGTATGTAAATATATTGTATATTTTAGATATATATTTGTATATCTTATATTATGTAATATATAAGTGACAGCTATGGAATGTACAAACATGTTATATAAAATATCATACATTATATATTTTATTTTGATCTTTCTATTGATATTCTTTGATGTGACATTGTCATCATACCTTCCTTTACTTCTTTAATTATAGCTTCCTTTAGTTCTGTGACATATTTTAAGTGGCTACTTTCAAGTCTTTTTTAAATCTGACATTTGGTTCATCTCATATGAAGTTTCTGTTGTCTTCCTTTTTCCTGGTGTATAGATCATCCTTCTGTTTCTTTACATGCTTCATAATTTTGGGGGGGAATCTAGACATTCTAGATAGTACACTGAAGCAACTCTGAGTTCTTGCGCCTCCCTCTACCACCCATCCCCCCAACCCCGGGCTTGTTGTTGTCGTATGTAGTGACTGGCCCCCTCCACGCAGTGGTAAGGCTCTGGTGTCATTCCTGTTCCTTGGGAGGTGCAGCGGTGGGTATGCCCACAGTCGCCCTGGGTGACAGTGGTTTGGGCAGGACTCTCGGCTCTTTCACTGACCACACCTGGCTGTTAAGCTCAAGCAGTACCAGCTGATTGCTCTATTGTTTTCAGCTGGCGGGGGAGGTACGGATATCTCTAGAGCCCAACTTGACCCAATGTGGGATTCACAGAGGAAACAACTCCCAAGATCAGGGTTTGAGGTTTGTTCTAGCCCCAGGAGGGCTCTTCCCCAGTCTCTCTCCCTGGTTCTCCCGAAAATTTGCTGGCCTACAGTTCAGCCAGTCCCTTCACTGAATCTATGAATCTCTTTCCAATGGCCTTTCACCACAACTCCTACTGTTTTTGAAAGTGTCCTTGTGATTGAACTTCTCCATGCTCTGGTGCAAATGCAGTCAGTTCCTTTGGGAAGAGACAAGGAGCTACCCCTTCTATAGCCTGCTTCTCCCAACAGGTGAGGGCTCTGGGCCCAGGAGTGGGAACAACAGCACACTTCTGAGGGACACACCCACTCTCAGAGCTTGGCGATCCGTGGGGTTGGGGACAGTACTACCCTCGGGTCTTCTCAGCTTGCTTCTCCTGGCATGGAACCAGCATCTTACCAGCTGGGCGAGGGGGGACTGGGCCCCTGCCTCAGTGGTATCTCACCCAAAGCAGAGGCTCCAGTCCACAAGGAGAGATTATGGTTATGCTGACGATCCTAGTAGAATCACTTCGAAACAAATCAGCTATATTCATAATCTGAAATTAAGCACAAGTAACCATAGTTTGCATAAAATACTTAAAACATTTAAAAAAAGAAAAACCTAAATTGGGGCGCCTGGGTGGCTCAGTCAGTGGTTAAGAGTCTGCTCAGGTCATGATCCTGGAGTCCCGGGATCGAGCCCCTCATCGGGCTCCCTGCTCAGCAGGGGGTCTGCTTCTCCCTCTCCTCCCTGCTCTCCCCCCACCGCCCCCCACTCATGCTCGTTCTATGTGTCTCCTTCTCAAATAAATAAGAATCTTAAAAAAAAACAAACCTAAACTAAAACAGAATCGAGATACAAATGACCTACTAGACACAGTATGGACTATATGGACATTATAATTCTTAATATAAAATGGCTCCTACAAATCAACCAAAAAACGTTTGAGCACAGTAAGAATCGGCAGATCTGAATAGAACGAATCAAATGAGAAATCAAAACGACACATGAAAACATATTTAATATGACCAGACATGACACTTATTTGACCATCAATTTGTCAAGGACTTATTTTAATCTTGGCCAAGAGTCCGTTGCCAATACCAGGGGCTGCTGGAAAGCGGCCACCGCCACACGGCCTTTCAAACTGGGATGAGCTCTGACCTGGTCGCTCTCCCTGCAGGAACTGCGTCTGAGACAGCAACTGCCATTGCGGACGGGCGGGCACCCAGCGCGGCTAACGTGCGTCACCCGCCACCGGCGGACAGCAGGGGTAAAACTACCGTTAGTCACGGCACAGTGTCTAAAACAAGTAGAAGAATATATGTGATAGATTAAAAGTCTGTAATTTATTAAGTACAAAAATGGATATCAAAGCATAGGACCCTAATTTTGTAAAAATTCTAACAAAGAAAAAATTAATCCCTGAAAGGGTTTTTAGCAGATACTAATGCTGCTATTTCGCAGAGGTAGGATGAGAGGAGATCTTAATTTTCTTCTTCACACTTTAATGTGCTTTGTAGATTTTATGCTGTAAGCATAAATGCTTTTATATTCAGAAAAAAGAATGCATAATAAAATACATCCTATTTGGGGTAATTTAAAAAACATTTTCACACATTTCAAAGTGCAGAATTACAAATAGTCAATACCTTTTATTAACATAATGATATAAAAAAATTTTAGTGTGATATACAGAATTCTCGGAGAGTAATTTTAAAACATTTTAATGCGCTTCCTAAAATCTTAATTTACAAGACACTTTGTCTTACTGCCACTGACCTCTCAATACAAAAATTTTACAATATTTGTTTCCTATAAAACTACAACATTAAGATTAGGGTTAGGTAGTTTTCCCCTGCTGGCCACTGTATTACAAGGAATGTCCGTTAGTCCACTGCTAGAACCTCTGTATGTCAAACAATAAGTTATACAGATTATGTACATAACTACAATAGGCTTATTAGGATTCCAGTATGTTGTAACATATTACACCACAGCTCAACACCATAGGCAAACGGAACTAATATGCACGTGCTGCCTGTAGCCAAATAAGAGATGTGAGAGTTGGCCCAGCTGGCCGGGCCCATTCGGTGGTGAATTTAAAATGGTAGAGAATTAATAACAGCTTTGTTAGGCACCGCTCCAGGCTAATTCCAGAAACACCTGGTTGTTCCTAGGAAGCATGCATAATTCATAAACTTTCCCACACTCAATCCCCCCAAACCCCCACAACTTCATAACATACTCTTCAATAGCTATATAAAAATAATCTTAGATTTGAGCTTCGCTTCAAATTCTTTTAAGTATCTAAAAGATTTTACATTCTCTTCTTTGATTTAGGTTTACTATAATATTAGGTCCGTCAGTTCCGTCAGGTTTGAATAAAATAACCGAATGCAGTTTGGCCAAGTTTTATAGGCACACAACTCAGACTGTGAAACCCAGGGTGGGGGGACAAGGCTCTGTCCACGGCCCCTGGGCCCACGCAGGATGCTCGGCCAGCAGCGCCGAGGACCCGAGCGCCCAGGGGCTGCCACCAACGCCCCCAAGTCTGTTAACAGGAATAAAAGTAACAATTCAACACAATTCCACGGATTGAGAAGAACTTATCCGGTGGTGTTAGGAAAACGAGGAAGTTAACTAAACAGCATGAAATGACAAACCTAGGAAGTGGTTTAAGCCTAAATGCTGGTTTACCTGCCCAAAAGCAAGCATCTAATCTGACAGCCCCCCGGGGCACTTCTCAAGGGTCAGTGACAACAAACGCGGATGATCGGGCACACGCGTTCTCACGTTGTTTCCACATCCAACCTGCCTGGGAAGTGCCCTGTGAGTGCGGGGGGGCAGGGGGGCCCAGGACCCGCCACCCTAGCTCGGCTCCTCCCTGTGAAACGGGAGCGAGGCACATGGACCAGGGGCCTCAAGTTCTTCCTAGCACGAATTCTATATAGGAAGTGGGAATAAATAATTGAATTTTTAAATTCAAGAACTATATTTTCAGCCTAAAAAAGGTGCAAACTCGCAACACAGTAGCGCACTTGCAATGCCTCCCCCCTCAGGCAGCCCCCGTTCAGGTACTGACATTCCTGCTCCCCCAAATGTCCTCCAAGGACAAGACACTTCTTCAGATGGTCCAGGAGGCGGTTCCCCAAGTGAGACTTGGGGAGCCTGGAGCGGATCTGAACAAGCAGAGGAAGAAGGGGCGTGGCGCGCGGGAAGACTGGAGCCCTTCTGGTGGCCGCTGGTGGCCCGACGCCTCTGCCGGTCCCCACGCGGGAGGCACAGGGCTGAGGAGCCGCGCTCACATGTTGTAGGCCACGTAGATGGGGTCCAGCTGGTCGGCCAGGAAGCCGTCTCGAAGGTGCATGCGCTGCTTCTCGCCCCGCGAGTTGATGGGGATCACGCCGGGGTCCACGATGACCACCACGCCCACGACCAGGTGATGCTCCTCCAGCACCACGTTTGTGACCAGAGCCACCAGGTCCAGCGCGTCCCGCTCCAGCCCATCCAGCTCCACCACCACGACCAGCAGGTTGGTCCAGGTGAACACGGCGCTGCAGGGACAAGACAGGCAGCGTCACATGGGGGTGGGCACAGGCCTCCGGGCCACACGGACATGCGGGGAACAGTGCCAAATAGAGAGCAGTAAGAGAAATCACAAATGTTTGCTGACGTAACACCACAGCTTAACACCACTAACGATGCAAGGGCTAGGCTAAGTGCGTTTTCCAGGAATCTCTGTTCTAATTAAAGCCCTGAACAAGAACCGAGAGTATCAGCTGACGCCGAAAGCTCTGCCTGACCCAGTTCAAGCTCCCACCAAGGGAAGACGTCAGGAGTCACAACCATTTCAATTAAAAAATTCAAGTAAAAGCAGGTACACTTCAGGATAACTGAGGGACCTCACGTTTTGAAACTGGTTAGGAGGTGAGGAAAGAGCTTGCAAGAGGCCTGGGGTCTGCTGCTGGAGGCGGGCTGGGCCGGGCGGGACGTGGCTCTCACCACTCAGCGATGCTCCTGTGGGCTCGGACCACGGACGTCTCGATGTCGATGGGGTGGTAGCGCATGCCTCTCAGCTCCAGCGTCTCATCCAGAGACCCGACCACGTACAGCGCATCATGTCGCTCTGTGAACACGGTTCGCACGCCTCAGAAGGACACCCAGGGGACACCGGGCACATCTGCATCCGTGTCAGCCCCGAGTCATGCCGTGTGGGACAACCGAGCCTCCCGTCCGTGAGCCGAGCAGGGGGCCCGGAACGATTCCCCGCGGGCGCAGCCCTGCTGCCTGTCACCACCTCAGGAGAGCACGTCAGGGTGTGAACACACACTGTGAAATAATCTGTGCCATCTCTGGAATGAAACAGCATCTGTGGGGACACCCAGTTCTGACTTGATCTGGGCAGCCTGTGGTGGCCCAAGGGACTCTGCAGCTTTCAGGGGTCACACGTGGAGGGGGCCTGGCGGCCTTGTCACCAACACCCCGCATCCCCAGCAGAGGCTGAGGGCCCAAGGCCAGTGAGGGACAGCCACGGGGGCAAAACAGCCATTTGCAGAGAAAACTGCTACCAGAGCACATCCCTGCCCCCCACACCTCACGACACAAGCTCACAGCAAAGGGCGGGGTGAGCCAGCAGGACGTCCGAGACGCTGCGGCTCGCGGGCGGAGGGACAGACCCCAGCACACGTCAGCACCGGGGCGGCAGCGTCCGAGGCAGCCCTCACCTCCGCTGGCATCCGTGAGCTCTGTTCTTCGCAGGAAACCGAGGTAGCCAGTCCTCGCCCAAATGGTCTGGGTGTCTCCAAAACTCAGCCGGGCACTGAAGTGGTCGGCGTGCAGAGCCTCCTCCCCGTACCCCGTGTAGTAGCCGGTAGCGTTGTGTGGGCTGCTCACCCAGATCTGCGGGGCTCAGAGGACGAGAAGGTCGGCACGTCACAAATGCTGGGCACAGTGTCAGGAGACGTCACTGGCCCGGAGTGCTTAAGGAAACACTTAACAGAGGCGGTGGAGGCCGAGCTCTTTTCTCTTGTGAATGGAGTTAAAATTCCAGGCACGGAAAGCAAGCAAACAACCTTTCTCTCCTCAAGTGAAGCATTCCTCCCTTTGCCCTACAAGGTTTCTGGGAGCCCCTGCATGTCCACTCGGGCACAGGTAAAGGGAGGGAGGGCTCACAGGACGGAGCGGGCAGGGCCGCTAAACCTCCCCTGCGGACATGCTGAGTCTACACGCCCCCTCACAGCCGTCGGCCGCACATGGGTAGCGGTACCAAGTGCTGTGGGGTCCCCTGGGGTGTCCTTCTAACACAGGGCCCATCCAGGACCCACAGTCAGCTCCCCAGACTGAGCGCCTGGTTCTAGACACCCCCAGAAGGCATCTCAAAGAGGACACGGGGCGCCCAACAGGGCCTCCTGCCCCAAGAGGCAGGTTCCCAGCCTGGCACAGACCCTCCATGACCGCCTTGGGGGCAAACTGTTGCCCTAACAGGCCTGGGTCCAGCTGGCCAGGAAGAGGGAGGGCTGAGGGGCAGCCCCATGCTGACTACACCCAGCCCTGGGCCCGGGACGTGAGCGATCAGGACAGTCAGGACACTGAGCGACCCCTGGAAGGCCCCCATCAGACAAACTGGGCAGCATCTGTGTAAATACCCCTGAACCCCATCTGCCAGGACCCCAGAAGCTGTCCACAGCAGAGCACAGTGGTCCTTGTGCCCACCTGGTGCTCGCCCACAGAGCCTGGAACTGGAAGCCTGAGACGTTCCCACCACGACTGAGCCGCCTGGGCCCCCGGCCCCCAGGGAACAGTCCCACCTGCCCCGAGTCACTCAGGACCCACTCCCATGCACGACACCTTGTGTCAGCACAGTGACTCCCACAAAGCCTGCATCCTAAGAACACAGAGGCCCCCCCGCCCCAGCCTACGTCTGCCCCCAGCCAGCCCCTCCCTCGGGGACTGCTTTTCAAGGGGAATCACAGTGTCTGGGCTGCTCCTCGGGCCTCCCAGTGCCCACAAAACTCGAGGTTTCCCTTCGCTGGAGGGCAACCCTGGGGTGGGCTTCATCCTGCGGGAACCCAGAGGGACCCCCCACACACAAATGGGTGCAGTAGGGGCAGGAGCAAAACAGCTTCTCCAAAGTATGCATGACCCCAAACGGCTGAGAATTCCTGACTCTGGGACAGACTGGGGAGACGAGTCGGGGCAGCTGCTGAGATCGTGGGGGCTCTGGCCCCCCACCTTACCTCTCCCAGGTGTGAGTCTCCAAGGGGCCCTTTGGTTTCAGTGTGCGCAATAATGACCTTCACCCCAGGGAGGATCTGGAAAGAGGATGTGAGTGATCAGGAGGGTTAGACGCCAACCTAAATCAGACACCGATTTTTCACAGAAATAAGAGACTTTTTAATAGATAAAAATAAATTGTGAATCTTAGCAAAATTATCCCAGTTCCTAAGAATGGACCCTATTTCAGATGTCGAGAGGGGTAAGGAGGGTTTCCGTAAGCATCTCCCACACCTGGGGTCTTTCACTAAGGCCACACGAGGACAACCTGCCCCTTGCAGGGGCACATGAGTATGGGGTGCCGTCCACGCACCATGGGCCGCTGCCAGGGCTCTGTGTGTCGGCTCGGTGAGCCCCAGCCTGGGCTGGGGAGCTACCGTGAAGACATGGAGTCAGTCCCACTCTGCCGGCTGGCTCAGGCATGCAGGGGCACTGGCTCTGGTCAGACCACCCGGATACCTGTTCTGTCTCAGGTGGCGTCCCCATATACGAAACAGATGGCAGTGGGGACCTCCAGGCAGATGGGAGGAAGGGTCAAGGGGTCACAGGAACATGGGGATGCAGGCTCTGTCACCCATGGTCATCTTCCTCCTCTCCCCCAGCTCAGCTCCAGCCACACTGGCCCCTCCGAGGCCCACACTCCCACCCCAGGACCTTTGCACCAGCGGAGCCTTCTGCCCCTCGTGTCTGTGGCTGTCCCTCCTCAGAAGCCCGACCCTGGTCACCCTCTGCAGGCGCACAGCTCTTGTCCTGTTGCCGTCTCCACTGCCCTGTCCCTAGCGGTCGCTGTGACCCTAATCGTGTGGGAGCAGAATCGGGGTGGCCCTTCCAGGCTGTGTGGGCCGTGCCAACCTCCATTTCTTGCCTCTGGGATTGCGCAGGAACAGGACGGGCCGCCCCTCTGCCCTGGGCCTAGCACCGGCACGCTGCGGGAGCTGTGGGAAGCCCTGAGATCGGGGCCGTCTGTTCCTGGCCGCGACGCTGGGCACCCAGCCCTGCCCTTGACCCTGCTGTCTCCTGACGCCCAGGCCATCCCCCCACTGCATCACACCCCCTGATAAAGCCACGCGGGCGCTCTTCTTTCCCTCGAACTTTCCCTGGCTCTGAGGACACCTGTTCTCCAGATCCCCCTGGTGGCATCGGGCCCAGCGGGCTCAAGCCCCCAGTAGGAGCTCCTTCTGGGCTTCTGACCCTCTCTCCTTTCTGATGTCCTTGTGTGAGAGGTGAGGAGGACAGGAGCCCTCTGCATCAGCCCAGCCGCGACCCCGGTCGACCTGTTTCCATCAGGACATGTTGACCTCTCGGAACCCGCCAGGGGCCAAGTTCCAGCTCCCATTACCTTTCCAGACTCCGTCAACGGCAGACTGTGCGGAGAACCCCGTTCTACCAAACGTACCCTGAAAATTAACAAGGGAAAAGTCATCAGAAACTGCTTGTCACTATAAAGGTCAGTCTGTGGACAATTCGTCTTCAGACTCACGACCTTGCCGTGACCTTGGAGCAGCGACTGCCTGCTGACTGGCCCCGACTCAGGGCAGGGGTTGGCTCCAGCTTTCTCTGCACCCTCCCCCCACCCGCCCCCACCTGCTGGCCCCACCCCCAGGAGGCTCCACCGCTGTTTACATCAAGGGGCAGCGTGGCCACGTTTGAGGGTCCAGAACCAGAACCCAGCTTCGGAGCTGGGAGGGACCCAGACCCATAGGGACACACTGTGGCCCGCGCACATTTACTGGACGGAAACGCTAAGTCTGGTCTTAAAATGGTATCGTGGGAAAAACGTGCTTGCCGTTGGCTGGTTCGCTTGTTTTCTACCCCGTAAGACGACCCGCGTCAGGTGTTGGGTAACTCCCATCCTCCCTCCAGGGGTGGGAACCATAGGTTCAGGGATGCTGCCTGAGCGGTGCTGACACGAGGGGCCCCCCAGGGGGCCCAGCCAGCCAGCCGCTCACGCCAGGCTGCTGGGAGGTCGGCCCGGGACCCAGCCGGCCCACACAAGCTCCCCTGCGGGTGTGGACGGGCCCTTACCGGTCATGCCGCAGCGCCCTCATGTCCACATAGACGGTGGTGGGGTCTGGGCCGGCCGTGCCCTGAAAGGAGAGCAGCAGAGGAACTTCCCTTCACCGGGTCTGCAGGAGCGGGTCTGCATCTACACGGGCAGAGCCGCGTGACAGCCCCTCCCGGGCCCCCAGGGCACACCCAGGAAGGCAGCAGCTCTGCCTGGGGCCAGGAGCCTGCCCGCGGGCACAGACGCCCTCCATCCAAACATCTACCTGGCTCAACAACGTCGAGTGGAGCGTCCCAGCAAAACCTACAATTTTACTCGTCAGTTCTAAGAGCTCTGTGTTCCCGCTGGTCCCCACCCTCCGTGCGATGGTAGAAACACCACCGTAGGTTTTGGAGGGCATTTCCGCCATGCTCGCCAGCCAACTGGATTCTAGCACGGGCCGAGCAGAGTGGAGGCTCTCTCGGGGATTCACCCTTCTCGCCTCTCTTCGAGACTTGGCATTGACCCTGCTGAGGCTACCAGGGCCCATTTAGTAGATAAGGAACATGGAGTTAAATGGACACTCTGCTCGACGTCACTCTCTGAAGACCCCAGACAGTGTAACCCACGTCTGCCCTGGTTAAAACAAGTGTCTTCTTTGAGACCAAACACGGTCCTTCCTCCAAAGGCAACGCCAGGACTGGTACGTTCTTTTGAAAATAGCTTTGCGCTTCCATTTGGTTTCAAAGGAGCTTTTGTAATACGTCAAGAACATCCACTGTGAGCAAAGTCAGACAGGAGAGACACATGCGTTTGTCTGGAATTCACAAGAAGCCACAGGAACTCTTGGGGGAAGCACAGAGGTGCCTTGAGGTTGAGGTCAAGGTCGTACCTGCTCAGCCAGCTTTCCCAGCCTGTTGGGCTGACAGAGGCAAAGAAGGCCAGCAGAGGGAGACAGGGAGGAGACAGCCACAGGAAACAAACAGGAAGCAACAGGCCACGTGAGAAACACACGTAAGAGAAAGCAAAATACGTCACTGCATCTCAAAGCGCAAACGTGAACAACCCATTAAGAGTCTGGCAATCCTACGTGGCATCCCACGTGACGACAAATAGTAGAGACACTTTCAAATATCGAGTAAAGGGGGCACCAGCTTTTAGATGTTGAGCAGAGAGTAAGGTGTTCACTTACAGCCTCGAACTGTGCATCAGCAGCCTGACACTTAGTCATACTGTCTACAAGAGGAAGGGACGTGAGGAGGGGGCCCAGCCCACCTCCTCCTGCCACCAGCAAGGGTCTGAGGCTTGGAGAGGCCAGCAGGGTCTTCATGGCGGGGAGGACATCAGCAGAAATGCCCGGAAAACAGGAGGATGGTCTCTGCATAAGAGACCGGCCCTGTGCCGGGGACAGGCTGGCCCAGGACAGGTGTGCCGGGTGCCAAGGACCAAGGCTGCGCAGAGGCTCTGGCTTGGCACCTGGGCCCTGCTCTGGCTCCCGGGGTGCCTCTTCCACCCCGTAATTCCTATACCGTGTCCGTGAGGAAGGCATTCAGTATGCTTTTACGAAGAAGTTAAATGCAGATACTGGTACCAAATCCGGAAAACAGCCAGTCATCTGAAGCAGCATTAGACATACTCTAGCTGTTCAATTTTGGAAACTTTGTGTTTTCCTTTTAATAAGTAAAATACCTTAATGTTTCAAAAATGAATTTGGGGCAATACAAACCACCACATTAATTAATGTTTCCATTTAAAATTGGTTAAGTGTCATAAGCTTTAAAAAATTAGCTACATATTGTATCCACCTTAGAGATTTTTCCAGGTAAGTGAATAGCCACTGCTCAAGAACATGTTGTTTTCAAATGAGCCTTTGTTCATCTAGGAGACTAGAATATCTTTTACAATAAAACCTCCTAGCTCACAGGCTGAACTGACATATGGAAGTGAACATCAAAGGCTCAGAGGACAAGCAGGGACCAGGGGCCAGAAGGCAGGACAGCACACGGAGAGCAGCAGGAGGGCGGCAGGAGGAGGGGCTCCCCCGGCAGGCCTTACCTGGAGGCAGATGGCCACGTTGACCCTGCACCCGAACGTGGTGCTCACGGCACGTGCCGGCAGCCCCAGGTCCTTGAACAGCTTGGAGAAGGACTGTGTGAGCGCGATCCTGGGCCTCTCCTCTGCGACCACCATGCAGGTGCGCACGCAGGACAGGTTCACCCCCTTCATCTGTGGGAGGAGTGGCGGAGCGGTCCTGAGCCATCTGAGGAAGGCTTGGAGGGGCACCCCAGGGGGCACCTGGTGCAGGAGCAGGGTGAGCGGGAAGCAAACCACAAACCCCAGCCTCCTCCTCCCCTGGGTCTCGCTGGCTGGGTCTCAGTTCCCCAGGGTCCTAAGCATGAAAGCACTGGAGGGGGCCCCTCAGCTCTGCACCCACTCCTGGCCTCCTGTGCCCCCGCTCCAGGCCCCTGGACCCCACGGTGCACTCAGAGCTAGTATGGGCCCCGCCCCCCACCCTGGCTCCCCTGCCCACCGCCCTCTGCTCCCTGCACCCCTGCCTGGCTCTCACACCCTCCTCTGATGTGTGGGGTGTGCAGAGGAAGGGAGGGACCTCTAGGGGCACAGCGAGGAGCTTGCAGCACAGTGGGGGCCGGGATAAAGCGCCATGGAGCCAGTGTGGCTCAACTCTATTTCCACAAACGGCTTGAACAGATTTTGGGGGTCTTTGTTTAAGGTTCCCGGGGTCCAGTTTAGAAACAAGTAGGAGCCCCTGGTTTGGGCACTCTGACAGGAAAGCAAGCAGGGTCGCGCACTCACCCTGAGGACGCCCGTCTGCGCTCCCAAGCCCTTGGTGCACATCTCCATCACCGAGTAGGAGCAGAAGGTGACCCGGGCCTTGTACTGGCTGACGGCAGACAGCCACAGGGACACGTTACTCTCCAGCTCCAGCGGGGGCACCAGGACGGACTGGTGTCCTGAGTAGACGCTGGGAGAGTGCAGGGAGGGTCAGACAGCTGCTGAGCCCACGAGACGTCCTGGCCACCCGCGTCCCTGCCTCTTTCCTTCCCCGAGGACACTTCTTCCTAGCCAGCACTGGGCGCAATTCGGCCCTAATTCAAGTGGGAGTTTCACTAGAAAATTCTGTGAGGAGCAGGGGGTGACACAGGGGTGTGGTCTCCGTCTAAGCACTTTGGAAGGATCCAGAGTCACACTTAGGGACAGAACCTGCTGGCTGGAGACTCTGGCCTTCTACTTCCAAAGATCTGTCGCTACTTCCTAGTGTTTGATGAAATTAAGTAGCCTCTTCCCTGTTACTAGTAACGGATACTGTTTGTATGTAGTGAAAAATGTATTTTTACTCCTTTTACTCCGTTTCAAACTCAGGCTCCCATCCTTTTCACCCCCAAACGAACCCACTCACATGTGCATCTTAGACTCCCTGGGCATCAAAACTGAATGTTAAGGTCCCAAAAATGACACAAGTGATTCCAGTCTTGCAGGCAGGCAAGCTGCAGGGGCACCTGCTCACCACCTGCTCACCACCCGCATCACTCACCTGCTCACCACCCGCATCACTCACC